TAATAACCTTTTTTTAAGCAAAATATGAGATTTTCTTTACATCCAAGAATGGGCTATTCATTTGAGTTCAATCGTAATGGACCTTGCCCTTATGTGTTTTGGTTTTTTTGTTTGGGCTAACATACTTTCTTGGCTTTATTCCTTGTTGGGCCTTCTGGCCAGTTTATAGCCTTTGGGCTGTACATATTTTTGCACACATATACAATTGTTTAACCTTTTGCGGAAAAAAATATAAAAATAAAAAAACTCAAGTACTTATTGGATACAAAAGTTCTTCAACTTACCACTTTCAGATTTCGTACCAAATAATTATATTGGCAAAAAAATAAAAATAAAATAAATCAATACATTTTTAAATCCATCTGAGAGAGAGAGACAATAGTATAGATTGGACAGCCTGTATGAGTTTCAATTTTAAATAATTAATAAGAACTCTAATTTCTCAAATAAAAAATTAAGGCAAACATAACAAAATTAAAAAAATGCATACCAAAAACACGGAAAATGCAATTTTAAGAGGAAAAAAAAAAAATTGTATAACAGTTAGTCCCAGAAGGTGCAAAGAAAGCCTATCTCTCTGACCTCTATCAAAAGAATTGGTCTATTAACCTTGCGTTTATACTACTACTTCTAGTAACAATAATAATTACACATATGATATTAACTTCGTCGATATATAGTGTTCATACATGTTGATGGTGAATTCTGCGCAACTCGGACCTAATTTAACTTCTTGAATAGAGAGAAGAAAAAGTGACCCTACAAGTACCGGTTTGTTACCGGTGGAGTAGGATTCGACGAACAAGTTAGTATACAAAATAATCTCTCTGAAGAAATCAAGAAATTGAGTTGGGATTTATTGTATACCTTAAAATGTCGATTAACCTATTTATTTATAAGACTTAGGTTAGGATGTCACGTAGACTTACCGTCGTCTTAATCCTTATCATAATCTGTAGGCTTAATCCTTATAATCCTTATCGTGATCCCTTATCTCAATCTTATGAGATAGTGCGTTAATTTAACAACTTTTCCTTATCCGCAGGTATTTAAATTATACATCTATCAGTTGACCCCCGTTTCAGAGAATTGCTTGTCACACCACCCGAACGTTAATTCCCAAATATTATATAATAGACATTTAGAATTGTAGAGCCTTGTCCATTAGCTTGACTCATATTGCCACTTCGCGAACACAGTCGGGCGTCGAGCTCCACTCCCTTATTAAAGGGGGCAAGCAAGTAATCATCAAGCATGCTTAGCTTGGAATGACTTAGCATTCCCGACGCTTGACAACAAAGGCAACCTATACAAGAGCAATAGAAAATAAAGGTTGCCCAAAAACTAGACACAACATGAAACAGTGAGCATGGAGACTGATTCTCGCCCTTCAAGATTTAATTGTTGTCTGGAGGCTTCACTGGTGGTTGTATAACAGAGACTGGAAGTTCCCATTCTTCAATTATACGTTTAGAACTTGGGGAATCAGAGAATGAAGATGACAGGAGCTTATGTCTGATTGTGTCTAAGACTTGCTGTGTGCATTTTGGGATGAGAAGTTCTTCTTGAAAATTCTCCTATTGTGCTCCATCCATATGTTGTAAACAAGTGAGCTCAGGGCAAGCTTTGCCACTGAGTTGCTATAGAACCCTCTGTTGTTCCTCCAGTGGTGTGAAGCCCATGTGATGAGGGATTGCCATGAGTTGGGATGGATATGGAAACCACACCTTGATTGGATGAATGACCACAAGGGCTTTGTGTAGTCACACTTCGATTCAATGTATGTAGTTTCTGTTGTATGGCCACCCATAGGGTGAATGAGTGTTTAAGGATTGAGTTTTTGAACCAAATAAGGTGAGTCCATGGCGGACTTGGCAAGTGAAGATTCAAATGCTTAAGGGTTTGTGTTATTGAGAAAACTCTATTTGGAGAAGGGATCTATAACACTTTGTCTTGTTTCTCTGGACATGGCAGTGTCAAGTTATTGACTTGCAAAAGTTGAGGGATTAATGTGGTAATGGAAGGAGGGAAAAACCAATTGGAATTTGATATAAATAAGCTTAGCTTTGTTTTTGTGTCAAAGCCAATGTCTCTGAGCCGCTGTGGATGAATGAGCTGATGAAGAGGCCCAAGGCTACACCAGTTGTCAAACCAAAAATTGGTGATTGAACCATTACCAAATTCATGTTTGACAAGGGGTTTGATTAAACTTTTTAAGTTGAGGAGCCTCCTCCAGCTCCAAAAGCACTGACCTAGGATCTTGACCTCCCAAATGCTCCTCCCTTTGAGCAAGTATTGATTGATCTATTTAACCCATAACATCTGTTTGGATTGATGATGTGCCAGAAATGCTTCATTACAGCAACTTCATTCCACATTTCTCGGTTTGGAATACCAAGCCCTCCAGCCCTCTTAGGTAGACAGCATAGGTCCCAAGCTACCTTTAAACCTGTTTTCTTAAGAGAGGGACCTGACCACAAGAAAGATCTAAATAGGCTATCCATTTCATGGATGATACTTATTGGCAAAATGAACTTTGAGCTCCAATAGAGTTGAGCAGAAAATAGCACTGCTTGAATAAGTTGTAGCCTGCCAGCAAAGAAGAGGTCTTTGCTAGTCCAATGAGCAATCCTCTTGGTGATCTTGTCAATCAGGGATCTGCAATCATTTGCTTTCAGCATGGTAGTGGTCAGAGGCACACCTAAGTATCTTACAGGGAGTATCCCTTTTTCAAGCAAGATTTCGGGAATGGGAGCTACTAATACGGAATATTCTATTAGATAAGAATTCCAAGTGATATGGAGACTCAAACGTTATAGATAAACTTAAACAACTACTACCCTCTCCAATGACTCTTACAATCCGTAATGGATAAGGAAAATAAATTTGTTTCATGACAGAAGATTACTACCATTAATACTTCTATAAAAGAAGTTATCGATCAACCTAGAAAGGTATGCCATAAATTTTATATTTATTCCTTTATCGAATATTCAATCTTCGAGTATTAACTTGACTGTAGGAGTGCTCCCAGCTGGCACTACGCCGGTCATCACTTCTCTCCTGCCTTATAGGAATCGCCATCGGCTCCAGTTTGTAAAGATTTTTACATCAACAACACATATTTTGAGTAAATTTCATCTTCTCTCTTATATATGACCCAAAATACTCTTTAACTATTATCAACCCGTAGAGTAGACCTATTTGTTACTTTGTTGAAACTACTGAAGAGGTTAACAGTGATTTTTTTTTACCAAAGTTTAATGGAAAAGGTGAAAGTTACAGACTTCAAGGGGTTTGAGAGTAATTTATCTTAAAAATAAGCTAAAGATAAATAGAAATGAGCAAAATATTAAGGCATTTAACTGTGGGAGAATAAAATTGTTTTAGTACTCGAGCCATTTGAACAAAAATGAAAACTCAAGGAGGATTTCTTAAATCCTGATTCTAGGAACCTTTCCTTTCAACAAAAATAAAAAAAAAAATGTGATCTGAAAAATGTGATCTCTTATCAAGCACCATAACATTAATTACTTTTAGCCAGGAAATTTTGTTGACAAGAATTTAGACTCCAATTGCTTGGACATAAATTTTTTTTTTTTAAATATTTTTTTTATACAATATATATATATATATATATATATATATATATATATATATATTCGGTGTTTGATAAAGGTGTAGATCAAAATTGGGGTTAAGTCTATCGGATGGAGTGTGTAAAATAACTTATCAAAAATTAATAAATAAATTATTTTTGTTAAGTTTTAATATTTTTTTCTTTCTAAATATTTAACACAACCAAACAACAAAAAATTACAAAAATAATATATTTTTTGAAAAATATTTTATACTCAAACAAACTGAACATTAGTCGAAAAAAAAAAAAAATCTCATTTTTAACGCCTAGTCAAATTCATCAGTGATGTGTCTCGGTACGAGTTCTTAATCAAAAGTGATTTAGAAGAATTTTAGTCACATGACTCGTAATCACACTGATTTTTAGAAGTTGGACACCCTCTACAACCTCTTAAATTCATCCCAGTAACAATTAATTACAGTACAAATTTAACATCGAGAGTTTAATTTTAATATTTTAGTCAGAAAAAAAAAAAAAAAAAAAAATGTGCCCATACACCTAATTCTTTTTGAACTAAAACTACACTTCCAAAAATGCACATAAATCAGAAATGTTGAATTCTTTTCTTTTTTTTTTCGGTAGCAAATTTAGACATTCAAAATTCCCCCCATTTACCACTTCGTACATATATCTCTATAACCGTCTTGCCACCACCCACAACCTCACCTCTTCTATCTGTTCTTGTCTCTATGAATTAGTCAATTTCTCTCTCCTCACAAATTCCTTTTAACCTTAATTACTCCATATTAATTGAAAATCCAATTACCAAATTAAATAAACAAATTTTCCTCCTTCACATTTCGTTCTCTGCTGCCCTTGAAATATAATTATATATAAAAAGACATAATCGTGTACATACATACACACTTGTTCCTACTTTCGCCCGTCAGGCACATTAAATCACTTTTATTTATGTATCCATTAAGGGTTCATGTGATAAAGAGAAAAACCAAATATAAATGAGGAAAAAGAGGGCCAAAGGTCTTGGATATATGCATTTATATGAAAAATCAAAGTTGGATTGAAGACCAAACAAGGGCAGATTCATGCATGTGAGTTGAAGGAGAGAACATGTGAGGAAAGAGTGGTGGCACGTGGCAAAGAGTGTGAACTCACGTGCAGCCCATGTGAACATATGTAGGAGTGTGCCCACTGAAGAGAATCTAGGTCAAAAGGGTCATTAGGAAATGTCCACATCCAACATTATAGATCAAGCCCACATTGCATTAAATAACTTAAGCAACCCCATACCCATTGCATTTTCTATAAGAGATAACACTTTGGAAACATGCTAGTAATAATGGCATTGCAAGCTATGTATATTAAATAAATATACACCATATTTAACAAGAAGGACAACTAACATGAATGTGACTACTATAATATTCCAACAAAAAGGATTAAATAAAAAATTAAAACTAAACATACAAGGATTTAATTAGCCTATGCTTTGTAGCAAAGGTATCATCACAATTCAACACACACTTATATCTAGTAAATTAACCCAAAAAAAAAAAAAAAATTTGAAAATGTAAAAGGGGAAATGAAACACACAGCACATGCATGTAGGGAAAATATTGCTATTTCCTTTTGTATGATACAAAAAAGAAAGAAGAAGACACAGAGAGAGAGGGAGAGTTGGGTGACTATTGGCTGAAATGTGACTGAGTTTATGCGAGTCAACTCAGTGATGAATTGGTGGTGGAGGCTTGCACTGGTAGCACTTGGCAAACAGCCCAAATGTGTCAACTTGCCTCACAAAATTGGTCATGCTAGCCCATCCACCGAACCCGAACCCAACCACAAGCACCCAAACCACCACGAAGATGTTTAACACGTACATGGCCGTCCAGCTCGGCATAAAGAATGGAGGCTTCTCTGCCGCATTCTGCAAAAAGAAATAAGCAATGTTTAGTGGAATTAGTAGTGCCACTTGAACAAATAGTTCAATTCTTAGTAATTCCAGATTTGATTAGGTTGATGAAACTGAGTTGATAAGTGAGTCAAATAGGTTTTGCTCTTTAAGGTTGTTCAATGTGATGGAAAGATCATAAAAGAATATGGTAAATAGACCCCATCAATTTTGGACACAAATGAGTCAACAAGTAGCCAGCTCATTTCAGACATATTATAACACTGTTGACTGTATCATATAACTAAATGATAAGGACATTCAACCAAATCTACCAATCTCTCCCCCTAATTTTGGGCTAAAGTTTGTACTCTCTGCCATATATAACCACTGTTGAATTATGGATCTCTCCAACAACGTCAGGGAGTTCCCACATATTATTCAATATGGACTTAGTTCACGAGACTCTCATTGTTACATAGTGGTCAAATATGTCTCAATGGATGGACCCAAATAATGCTAGAAAGGAAAATAATTTGATGAACTTAATCCGTATACGTATGTATGTATATAGAGAGAGAGAGACCTGGCGGGCAGAGGCCTTTCTGTAAGTGAGCATATGGGCAAGAGCTGGAATGATGTAGACGGTGAAGCTAACCAAGAGAGCCCCAACAGCCGAATTAATGGGGCCAAAGAATGGGAAGATAATGGCCAAAAACCAAATTGGTATAACCACTGGCAACCTTGCAAGTGCTCTCAAACATATGCTCTTCGTATCATGCATTCCTATCACCTTCTCCCACACGAAGTACAGAGGAGTACACGCAAATCCAAATGTTATAAACTGCACCAAAATCCCACACAGTAAATATTTCATTCCTACAACCCCATTTAACTAAACATAAATACTTCAATTATTTGGATGTTTCTTTTTTTTAAGATTTCAAAGTTATAAATACTTTAATTTTAAATTATTGGACTTAAAATATATTTACCCACCTGATGAATGAGCATTAAAATAACCGCGGCGTCACGCCAACGAGTTTTGGGGAGGAGGGAGAAAGCATTGGCGTGGTTGAGGAGCTCATCCCCGAACGCCCAGTAGACCGCTGAGGCTGATGGAAGCGTTAGTGTGAAGACATAGAGCGTGGCAATTAAGTATATGTACTTGAATTTTTGGGGTTTCCACATTGCATGCATGATTTCCCTGTAACATTTTTCACCAGCTTTCATTCATTATAATTCAATTCATAAATAGAAATTAAATGAACTGCGTCAAAAAAAAAAAAAAAATGGGTAGTAACATTTTGTTGTTGCTTCCAGACCACATTATCAATTGCATATAGAAAATAACTAACAATTACATTGGTCAATAATGAATATGTTACTCAATTCCAAACTGCAACAATAGTTGCATGTAGTATTATATTTTGATTTAAATTACCTGAATACTCTTAGACATTGGATGCTTGCAAAGTACATATTAAATGACCAAAATATCCTTGGATAAGAAAATAGTTTATTAACTACTACATTCTTCGTACCCTAGCTAGCTCCAAGTACTTGATAGGAAATTTGGGGGCCCGAAGAAAATAGGTAACCAGATCAAGATCTGAATTAACATGAACTAGTGAGAAGGGTCCTAGCGAAACTACAAGGAAAGACTAGTTTTACTGTTGCTTTTGTCTATAAGGTTAATGTGGGGGTAATGTTCTTTTTTCCAGGAAAACAAACAGATAAGATTTCCATGATTCAGTCATTAGTCTCAAACCCGAGGTGATCGGCAAAAGCTGCAAAGAGAAGCCGCGTAGAAAGAAATGAGGAAGATATAATATGGTATATACATTACATATATACATACACTCATCATGCATATATTTTTACATGTATAGTATATACAGAAAAGACTTACACAGTGACAGCATGTCCACCGAAGGTGTATAGTATATTGGTGGCGCCGGTGAAGTACAGAACTAGCTTTGTTGGAGCCGAGTGTGAAACACCATCAACCTGCAAAAGAATAAAACAACCACACAAACTTTACTCCCTCCAAACACATACTAACCAAAACAGAACAAAAAGTTCATACTAATGGCTTCCATTTAGAGACACCGTACCCAAGAAAGAAAGTGACCAGTTGATATATATATATATATATATATATATATATATATCGTGGGTGTTTGTATATATTACCTGTCCGTGAATGAAAGCTGCTATGGCCATGTACCAGGCAGTGTAAGTGGTCATACCAAGGCCTAGAAAAGACCAAATCCGGTAGTTGTGGAAGGAGGGAATGAACACAGTTGTAGCACAGCAAGCTCCAAATATATATGTCCATGTCCTCTTGTCCAATCGGTCATTGATATAGTATATATTACTGTTCTCATTAAGAATCAACCAAACAGAGTCTCATTAAAACACAAACCCCAGTTCATATTTTCCAATTTAAGTATGAAAAAGTCAAATATAAACCTTACCTTGCACAAGCTATTAGCTGTATAACAGATCCAAAGAGAAGGAAAGTACAGTTAAAGGCAAGACCCACTGCCTTCCAGTAAGGACCCAGTAACCCATCAAGCACTTCAAACCACTGCAACTCAAAAACAAGACAAAATTAATGGTTTGGGTTTGGGTTTGGGTTTTAATGAATGAATCAGTAGTAATGGTAGTGGTAATTAAATAGAAGTAAAATTAATTACCTGTATGACATGATTTTTGAAGCTAACATTCTCTTTCTCTTTTCTGCTTCGATATTCAATATAGAGAACACTGATGAGATATGCTGTCCAGCTACCAATAATACCATAGAATATCTGTAGCAAAATCCCTGATAACATACCCAGTTGAGAGAAAGAGTATGGCAATGTTAACAGGACTTGTGCTACCTGAAATCAATGAACATCATCAATTACTGAATCAGACACAGTTTGATTTTTATAAATTGAAATGGGTATTTTTGTGGTTGTTATATATATACACATACTTGATTAGAAGCACAACTGAACCAAGCGTCCCAAGCAGAACCACCATGCCAGAGGACGTTCTTGACACTGAAAAAGGAGTGATCTTCTTGCTGCTTCTCTTCTTCCTTGCCCTCATGATGCTGTGTCTCGTTGAAGTTGGGGACAATAGCTTCCTCTGCTTGCTTTTGAGGCAACATTGTCTTCGATTTTCTCCAAAGCCAAACTACGAATTCCAGTCAGATCTGAGACACAAAAAAGACACCCAATGAGACAAATCTATATAAAAACCAAACCCTTCTACAGAAAACGAAAGCCAATGAAAACCCCAGATCCAAGAACGAATCAAAGAAACTAAAAAACAACAAAACAAAATGTCAAAAACAAAGAAAAAAGACCACCCATTTGGCTATTTTCCAAATTTCTAACACTACCTTACCTTGTTTGAGAGGTCTCTTTCTCGAATCCAGATCTCTGAAAATAGTCCCTTGAGTGAGAGTTGTTCTGATCTTTCCTTTTTGTTTTTGGAAGCAAGGCAAAAACAAGGAGTACTTGAGGAATAATAATTCATTCCATGATTTGGCAGAGCTAGAGAGAGAAACAGAGCATTGAATGCCACCAAGAAATAATTGCAAGAGCTCAGCTACAAAATCACACACACACCTAGCTAGACCAGACCACTCAATACCCAATTTTTCTGGCAGAGAAAAAGCCGAAACGCAAAGGCGGCGACACCTCGAAACCAGCAAAATTCAGAGCTGCTTCAATGATAAATGTTCAGAGCTAACGACTACAGACTGAGCTAAAAGAAACCTTTTCGCACCTATTCAAGTACATACAACATAATATATGTATATATATATATTCTTTTTCAATTTGGGTTTTCGAATTCCACTCGCTTAAAGGAAGAAAGAAAATCCAATTCACTGTATTCCACTTCCACTACCAAATCGATTCTTGGGTCTTCGTCTGATAGAGAGAGAATCAAGAGGTTTTTGTGACAGAGACTTGGTTCTAATCTATCTATAACTATGGACTCAATGGAGAAGCTCCTTTATATAGAAGCAATCGAACGAATAACGCTCTTAACGGCTCTTACATAATTAAGGTTTAAAAAAGCAATTAAAGAAAAAGAATAGATTTTGCAATATATTAGTTGTCTATATTGGATTAATATATCTCCCTTTAAAATTTAAAATCTACTTTTTATAAAAAATTACGAATATACTACAATAAATTTTATAATTACGCAATAATATGATATAAAACATGTACGAGACCAGCATAGGTTTTAAACATTAATTGAAGAAATTGATCAATATTACATTTTCCCTTCCTTCAGGAAAAAAAAAAAAAAAATTGTGTATTGTGGGCCTGCCAATCCAAGCAGTTCTTAGGCCATCTGCAGCGGGCTCACAGAAGGTCAATTTCCGTGAGCCAAGGGCCAAATGGGCGCACAGCGCCCTAGCTAACACGTGTGGGCCCAATTTTGCTCGCAGGCCGGCTCGCGGTATTTAGTGAGCCGGTCCGCGATCGTGGTATTTTTTTTTTGTTTTTTATAGTTAGAAAATGGCGCCGTTTCGCTGCCTCTTGGGGGAGTCTTCTTGCAACGGCTATATACTGTAGCCAAACAATGCCTCTGTTTTTTGTCTCTTCTTGCAACGGCATAGTACAGTAGCCAAATTGGCTAAAAAATAAAATAAAATTCATTAAATAAAAAATATATTGTTTAGGCATTGTTTGTCAAAAAAAAAAAAAAAAAAAAAAAAAAAAAAAAAGGCCAAAAATAAATTAAAAAAACTTTTTTTTTTTTTTAGTTTTTTCCCTTAAAATTTGTTTTTTTTTAAAAAAAAAATTATTTTAAATTTTAAATGTGTAGGCCAAATAGTGTATTTAGCCGTTAAAACACTGTTTCTACAGTACCAAACAGTGCCTTAACGGTTATAATTTTAAAAAAAGTTTAAAAATTGAAGTTTTTTTTAACTTTATTCAAAAAAAAAAAAAAAAAATTAAAATTTTAAAAATCTCTATAAATACCTTGACTCCTACCATCACTCGTCACATCTCTAGTATCTACCATTCAACTTATTTCTTCTTCTATTTTCTCAGTCTTAGCTATTATTTTCAAAATCATTTCGATTCCATGGATCCTCGACATCCATATTATCACAACACCCAATTCAACCCATCAAACGATGAGTTTTTGCCATTTCCCGAAGAGAAAATCAATTATTATGGAAGAGATTCTCAATTTCCTTCTCATCAACCATCCCAACCTTCTTATCAACCATCCTAAACTTCTCATCAATATTGTGGTACTAGTGTTCCACAATCAAGTAACTCAAAACCCCCGTCAAAACAATCGCCTATCCAATATAATAATTGGACCAAGGCTGAAGATGAAGCATTATGTTGGGCGTGGTTGTCCATTACCTCTGATGCGATTACGGGGGCAGACCAAAGTAAGAAGAAGTTATGGAAGCGAATTCTGGAACAATTTAAACAACATATTGGTGTTCCAACTGAGCGAAATGATGAAGGTTTGATGAATCATTGGTAGGTGATCTAACAAAAAATCAGTAAATTTTCCGGCTGCATGACTACCATAGAAATGAATCGTCCCAGCGGCTTTAGCAGTGATGATATGGTGAGTTATTTATTGTTTAAATATAACTCATAAATATTTTAAATAGTCGGTTTTTAATTTTTTGTTAATTTTTTCGTGTAGATGACAGCAGCTAAAGATCTGTTTCGTAACCAAACAGATGGCGAATTTAAGTTAAAAAGTTGCTGGGAGATCTTGAAGTATAACAATAAATGGAATTCACATTGTGTTGAACAAGTAGGAAAATGAAAAAAGAAAAAAGAACCGAAGAAGAGGAGTGGATTTGAGTTTGACATTAATGAGTCTGTTAGGCACTCATTACCATCTACTCCGTCAAGTCATGTAACCATGACAGATGGAGCTTCAACTGAAGAATCACCACACATAGGGGAAATGATTCACCCAGTCTGGAAGAATATCAACTACAATGACCAGTAGAAAGAAAAGCAGCGAAGCAACGTCGAACAAAAATTAATTCAACGAATGAATTGCAAACTTCATTCGTTTCGAAATTTAATAATATCACCACCTGTTTTAAGAGTCGTTAGTAGAAAATGCAGGATGCCTAAGTGGCACGAGAGGTAAGAAAAATGGAGAAAGAGAAAACAATGCAGTTAGAGATTCTAGAGAAACAGAGACTTGAAGAGAAGGAACTCATGTTAACAGATCTAAATTTGGCACCAACAGAAGCGGGGAAAGTTTGGATTATTGCACGACAAAATGAGATATTGGCATCTTTGAATTCACGGTCCGCCCCAAAGTTCCCATAGGATTTTGTAATCCTTGGTCCATTAATTTTCTTATTCCAATTTAGGATATTGTATTGTTTAAGTTATTTTTAATTGTATTGTTATATATATATATATATATATATATATATATATATATATATATATATATATATATATATATATATATATTAATCCGATAATGTATTGTTTCAAGTTCTAATATCAATCGTAGTTTTTTTAATAATTTCTAAAAATATTGTTTGATTGAAAAATATTGCCGTCGAGAAAATATAGCCGTTGCAAATATAACCGTTACAAATATAGCTGTTAAAAATATAGTCATTTAAGAAAAGTTAAAAAAAATTAAAAAAAATTAATTAATTTTTATTTATTATTATTATTATTATTGGAGAGCGAAAATTCGAAGAGCCTGATGGAGTGCATGTTTTTGGAGAGCGAAAACTGCTGATGTGGCTCTTGAAATTGCTGACGTGGCTCTTGAAAAAACTGATGTGACATTTTTAAAGAGTCAAAATTCGGAAAGGCTGGTACAGATGATCTTAAGATTGGAGACCCATTATGATAATCCCAAGTCTTCTCATTACAAGTCGGTCGGTTAATTCGACACTGTATTAAAAAAATAATAATAATAAATAATAAATAAATAAATAAATTTGGACACAGTAAAATAGTAAATATTGGAGTAATATTTGTGGAGAAGTTTAGGCCCAAGCCGAACCAAACTGGACCCGCCACAATTTAGCACGCTTCAAAAGGCAAAACACGCGCACTATCAACCCTAACCCCATTCACCGAATGCTCACATTAGAGAAAAGATCCCTTTTATCGGACGGCTGGACGTGGCCGTTTGGTCCCACTCATCCAATTAACTTTGCAAATTCAATTTTCTTTCCAGTTTTAGAAAATATAATACTCCACTGGTTACTAGTGATTTTATTTTCAAACTATTTTGGAATTGACTAAAAGATATATAAAGGAAGAAAAGAATAAGATGAAAGAAAAAGACCATCTCAATAAGGACAAAATAAAGAAAAAGAAAGCAAGAATCTATATACTGTTAGGTCTTTTTCAATTGTTTATTCCAAAAAAAAAAAAAGAATAATTTGAAATTTAAATGTTTTTAATTTAATGCAATTGGTGGATTTCAAATACTCTTGGAATTCTTTTTAAATAAAAACATGTCTGAGTGGCTTGACCACATCCCTTTTTTTTATTTCTTTTTGCTCATGCTCATAAAACAATGATCGAGAAAGTTTTGGCCCCATATCCAGTAAGTTTTAAAAACGATGAATTAATCTTCGCAAAGTATTAAAACAAGTGAGCATTTGTAGGAATCTTTATGTATATAAATGATATTAGAAATTTGTAGAAACTGAAGCAAAGCAAAAACTTTTAAAAAGTTATACAAAAATAAAATATGAAATAACATACCATATTATATTTTGATGAAAAAATGAATGCAATTATTTGCAACTAGAAATTAGCTAATTTAATTCATCAATGATATCTCTTAGTATTTTGGGTCAAGTGCAAAAAACACCCCTCAAATATGCATATAGTGTATATAACACCCCACCCGTGCAAATAACACCCCTCAAGTTTCAATTTGGTGCAATCAAGTCTCTCTGGCAAATTTAAAACTTAACTTGACTAAAATACCCTTAGTCAACAATTTTATAAAATATAAAAAAATTCAAAATTTTGTAAAAAGACCAAAAAGGACAATAAACAATCACATCATGTGCCTCTCACGCGCCGCTTCTTCTACATACTCCCTCTCCCTCACCTTCACCGATGCAAACCAACAACCTCTCTCCCAACCTAAAAGACTCAATGACCACTGCGAACTAACAACCTCTCTCCCAACCTAGAAGACTCAATGACTACTGTTACCCAATCACAATTAGAAACACTAGCACTAATGAACGATGATGACGACGAACCCATCGCCACCTTCCCGTCGCCGGCGACGGCACTGCGCCTGTCCCGATCACAGCTGTTAATGCCCATCCGCGAGGACTGCTGGTCTAAGGACGCTAATCAAACTCTTATCGAAGCCTAGGGCGAACGTTACATTGAGCTCAACCGCGGCAACCTTCGTCAGAAACACTGGCAGGATGTCGCCGACACCTTCAATGCCCGTCACAGCTGCGTGAAAAAGGCTCGCCGTATAGGTATCCAGTGCAAGAACTAAATTGACACTTCAAAAAGAAGTACAAGATTGAACGGCAACTACACCAGCCAGTGGCCTTTCTTTCCCGCTCTCAAATCCCTAATCGGCTCCCCTACAAGCCCTCGCCGTCATCTGGCCTCACTAGAAAACATCGCCGGATTTTTACACATTCTTATCAACCCTATTCACCATTGTTTAATTTCTTCTTCTCTCCACTGCCTCACCTACAAATTTAACACAAACAAAACCCAGATCCAAAAACCATTCAATACCCACATGGATTTAATCAGATTCCAAACAAACCCATAACATACATTCGCACACAAACATTACAAACAAAACTTTGATAAGACCCACTAAAACAAAACTAAGAACGAATCAGCCATCACCACAAAATTCCCAAATCCAAGGACGAATCAGCCATCACTACAACCAAAATTTACAGACAAGAGAAAATTTTAGAGAGACAGAGATAAAAATGCAAGACCTAACGCTGGACCGCCATTGTCGATGCCGCCGGA